AAATAAAATTATAATAAAATAATAGCAAAAGGTATAAATATGCCTTGCTTTTTTCTTGACCAAATTTCAAGATGGGAATAAAATTGAATATTAAAATAAAAATTAATAAGATTATTCAAAGTATTATTAATTAAAATAAAAATTAATAAGATTATTCAAAGTATTATTAATTAAAATAATAATTAATAAGATTATTTACAGTATTATTAATTAAAATAAAAATTAATAAGATTATTCAAATCTAAAATTAGTGAAATAAGAATTTTTCTAACTATCACCGGGGTGATAATCACCGGTGACTGAAATTATGACGATCGACCAGCATTAAAAAAATATAGTGCCGGTAAAATTGATAATTCTGGCCAACGGTGATGATTTGAAGTAAAAAATAAAATAACAAAATAAAATAAAGTTATAAGAAAATTACCGGAGGAATTACTTCCGTGACGAATAAGGGTGACGAATAGGATTTTTAATAATTATTATCTGTTATGATTGGATTAAAATACATTTTTTTTTTAAGTGCTGAATCCGGCACAATCACTATATATAAATTTGGGGTAAATTTATATGTAATTTTTATATGTTCTAAAATGTGTAGGGGCCATATTATAAAATAAATTCATAACTACGAATACTTATACCAATTCAAGAATTTTTTTAGAAAAAAAGACACTTTCCTATAAGCTCAAAAAATCAATTCTTCAAAATTTACGATTTTTTATTTTTTTGTCCCCAGCAGATTTGAATCTAAAAAATATTTTAAGATTTCTCGTCATCTATCAACTCTAGAGAGATAAATTATTACCATTAAATTCGTCTCAATAAGACGATTTTAATGAGCTATATTTCTCACTTCTACAGTCATTAGATATTGAGTTATTTCCCCCCAAAATTTATTATTAAAATAATGCCAAATTCTCACGGATTGGCACAAAATTAATTTCATAATTATTTAGATGCCGTCGAAATTGTAATACGTGTTGCGGTACGGCTGCGAAACTAATTACGGCTTTATGCTGTATACCGTAATGGCGTAATATTTTTATGGTAAATAATTTCGACATATGGCGTAACGCCGACGCCGTAACTCAAGAATTTTGACACCACCTATTCATTAAAAAAAAAAAAAAAAATTTTTTTATTACGATTTTAAAAAAATTTATAAGGCTAAAAC